TTTGAGCACGTCGTTCCTAAAGCCTTGTCAGAAGTAACAAGCCGGATAGATTTTCCCAGACTTGGAAGGATAGGTATGTGTATGGGGGTCCAAGCGCAGTGGTATCCCATTTGGTGGTTTCTCAATGATGAACAATATTTGCTTGACGTACCTATAAATACTTGCTCAAGCCACAGCGGGACGATGTCATGCAGTACGGAGGAATCCACTGCTGAAGAGACATTGGCCTTTATTCTTGAGGTCCACGTAATTCTGGGCTATTCTGGACCATTTTCAGTACTTTAATAACTGCGCCGTTCTCACAGATAAGGTCAGCCTGTGGTACAGGTACCAAGAGGTCTCGTGACGCATACGTTAAGCTGTTTGAACGGGCTCCGACTCCATGGTCAACTGGCCAATACTTGTCGGATGCCGTCAGTAGGAAGGTAGGAAATAAGGGCTGAAGGTTTAAGATGGAGCTGAAAAGTGTTCTAGGCAAGGCTCAAAGTGAAGGTCGAGACGAGGATAGGGGGTTAACAGATGTCGAAGCTGAGCATGGGGGACGTTCATGCTGCTTCCCAATCGGTGAAGTTATATGAGGTATGCTGTATGATACCATGCTTTGACGTTCCGAAGCAGCAGCAGTTTGATGGCCTTTGGGATTGGGCTTTGAATCGATCAGTTGAAGGTATTTTTGTTTAAATTTGTTGATAATCATTTGATACTTAAGGTACAAGTAAGGTATCTTACCTTAGGAATTAAGTACTCTACACCGTAGTGACGCTAAAAGCCGTAGAAGGCTAAGTAAAGTAAGGTAAAGGTACCCCACCAAAAGGCGGAACGACCGTGGATTATCTGAATTTTGGACGTGATTTTAGATCAAAGCCTCGCCTTATGCCTACAGTACCTCGCCTTGCCTTTTGCTGCACTGGTGCCACCACAGAAACAGCACACTTTCTTCAATCGCCCTCTCCTAACCTATCAGGCTGTTGAAAAGCATCATGACTTCTCCCCGCAGTCAGCTTATTCCACAGCTTCTTCCAGCTCCCTCTCCCCTCATCATACCCGCCAATTGCTCATATCCTTATCCGCCCTTGGCCCATCCACACCATACCTTTGCCAAAACTAGACAATCGAGGCAAGCCAGAGCTGCAGCCCCCAATTCAAAACGGCTATCTTCATGACTATATGGTGTGTGCGGTCAGCTCGGTTAATCCAATACAAACAAGTCAACGTTGGCAGCTGGCACCTTGAGACATCCCCCCCGGGCTCCCTGACAATTTAACGCGCAGCATTCTTTCATGCTTGTACTACGCCAATCATCCCTAGGGGTTGGACTGGACGATCCATAATTAAGAGAGAACAAGTTCAGGAGCAGCACACACTGGATACTAGCTTTGCCTGGCAGCCTAAATGCCGGAAGGCACTGGACCTCATCGCACTGGGCCGCCAGCAAACAAGGCTTTGGGGCCTCAAGAGGAGGCCAGTGGGAGCATGGCGGCGTCCGAAGTCAACACGAACAGTGCAGCGGCAGAATCATCAAGAATGACGAATCCTGTGAAGGCCCGGAGACGGACCAAGACTGGCTGTCTCAGTAAGTTTTTGCTCGTGTTGTGGACCTCAGAAATTCTCAGATCACTCATATGTCACAGCATGCCGCAAGCGGCGTATCAAGTGCGGCGAGGAGCGCCCAACGTGTAAAAATTGTGTCAAGTCGAAGCGCGAGTGCGAAGGCTATATTCATCGAGTCATTTTCAAGGACCCTCTTGGTGCGTTCCGGCCAACGCAGCAAGGAATTGCTGCTCGCGCTCAACATCCGTCCCACCCTCGTGGAGCTGCAAGTATCTATGGGGGTATATCTTCAGCATCCGTGGACACTCCAATTGCGCCGCGTCTCCTTCCATATGGAGAGCAAACTGGGTTAGGACATGTGCCTGTGGCAAGTGGACCGATAGCAGCAGGAAACTTTCATGGCCCCACTGGCTATACACACAGCGTTCCCTCATATTCGGTAGGCGACAGCGCCTCCAAGCCGCTTTATGCATCACAAATGGGTTACTCACACAGCGGTTTCCCAAGCAGTGCAATGGCGGAAAATGTTGCTCAAAGCCGCGGTGATTCATTCCCATATCAAACCTTTCAGCAACAAAGTATTGGCGATGGTGATGGCGGCATTGAAATGGGTCTTACACAAGTTCCTCATGGCCGGTCACGTGGCTCAGATTCGATGCGGTCAACCGAGTTTCCAGTTCCTCATGACGAATTTTCCGTCTTAAACCCTCAAGAATTTGATCCCAACCACATGCATCAAAGTACTCACTGGCCAGTAAAGGAAGAAAGTGCATTTAAACAAACCCAAAACCACGCCTCCTTTTCATCTTTCCCGATTCAAGGCCGTTCGAATTGGAATGGGGTTGCGGTTCAAGATGTTTTCCCACACCAAGCCCATTCGCAAAATCAACATTACGGAGTTCCAGCCCAGACACCGTGGGTAGTGGAGCCAGACGAGGACGACTATTTCGACGTAGAGTCAGACGAAGAGGATCTCATATCGGAACCTTATGTCACAGGGACAACCTCCTACGATCTTGGGGCAATGGTAGCCATAACAGCAGATCAAGGCCAGGGTCGCATTAGATCAATGACCAATTTCTTGAACGAGCCCAATATACTCGCGACATATTTTCCATCTTATGCGGCCTCACCATTGAGGGATCCTCAGACCGCTCGAGTCTTCTGTCATTTTATAACGGCCACTGCACCAACGCTATCCGTCTGCGAACGGCATCCGTCGAATCCTGCCCTGATATTCTCAGGCAAACCTGTCCCTTGGTCGCAAAGAGCGCTCTGGTCTTATACTTTGCCAATGCGAGCACTAACACATCAAGGGCTTCTCCATGCTATGTTGGCTTTGGCGAGTTTGCACATTGCAAAGCTGCAACAGACATCATCGACGCCGTCGTTGAAACATTACCATTACGCGCTGAGAAGAGTAGCAAAGGCCTTGGGCAACCAGAAGAAACGACAGGACGTTGCTACACTTGCTGCGACGCAGCTGCTTGGCTTTTATGAAGTGACAACGGCTGAGCACAACAAATGGAACAGTCACCTTGCTGGTGCTCGAGAACTCATCATGGACATTGATTATGCAAGGATGGTAAAGCGGATAGAAGCCCACAGACGGCAGCAAGAAGAAGCCGAAGCAAGACTTAGGCTTGAGATGCAATTTGGCCATCCCAATGCATACTGGCACGAATATGCACGAGGAGTATTGGACGATTTTCCTGCGAGGGTTGACCGACAACTGGATGAAGGGCTCATCAGTACAATCATGGGCTGGAGCACGAGGTATGATCAACATGGTCGAATTATCGACGAAGGCGATCCTGCTCCCCAGACCGAATCACCTTTAACGGCCCGTGACATTGAAAACTTCGAGATCCAGTGTGAGCTGTTCTGGTGGTACGTCAAGCACGACATATATCAAAGCATACTTAGTGGCAATCGTCTCCTGTAGGTCTCCAAAAAGATTCAATCATGGAAACTACTGACTGGAGCCTAGACTATCATATGATCAATGGGGCCGTTGCCCTCCCAGAGCGCCAATCGGAAGGCTAGATGCGGTTTGTGGTAGTCTTGATCACCTCCTTCTGTTGATGGGTAGGCTGGCGGAGTTTGCTGCCAAAGACCTGCCTCGAAAGAGGAGAGCGTACATGGAGGCAGCAAAGAAGTCAAAGTCGTCAACCCTACAAGGCCCACCACCCACACCAAACGGACAGCAACCTCCCCAAATGTACGGCATGATGCCTGATCCTGGCCCTGTACGCCTACCCCGAGGTTTCGACCAAGCTCAACACGATCGACTTTACACAGCCCCAGTCCCTAGCCAGGACCAACCTCTTGAAGCGGCCACAGGGGAAGCCGAAGCCGAATGGTCAGCCATTTCACATGCGTTTCAAGTCTATGCAAGCTCTCTGGGGCCTGACTACGCACCTCTCTCTCCAGAGCACATGACCCCAACCGCTACACCCTTTGGGCCCGCCCTCTACTATCGTTCCTACTCAATTTCCTGCGTCCTCATCATGTACTATATGGGACGCATCATCTGCTCCAGAGCCCACCCGTCTATGCCACCAGCCGCCATGGCCGCCGCTGGCGTCGCTGCACCCCAAACAGCGGTGCACGCTAACACCATAGGCCGCATCTTCGCCGGCATACAACCAATCGACAGCACTCTATCCATAAACCCCCACCACGGCGCTGCGATGATGGACGGCTGCATGGGCCTTTTCCACGCCGGCGTCCAGTACCGCGATCCCGCGCAACGCGGCTGGACTATTACCAAATTGCGTGACGTCGCCCGCTTAACTGGCTGGCAAACGAGCGTGCTCATCGCCTCGGGCTGTGAGCGAGCTTGGATCAAAGCGGCGGATATGGGCAAAGGGCCGCCATATACGATGATGTTGAATCCGATATCCAAAGACGACAGACTCTCGGGCAGGGGCCACGATCCGAGCCAATTCGTCCATCCGCCGAAAGATAATAACGATAGGAGATTCATTACTGTAAACGCCGGGACAAGGGTGTACTGGGCTATGGGTGTTTTAAGTGTTGACGAGGATTTCAAGGGTATGAATCTGAATGGGTAGATGCTGAGTGAAGAGGCTGGGATTACCAGTGTGATAGGGTTAATGTGATGCAATATATCAGCGCTGGTCCTAAGTCAGCTTTGTGTTCATAAGGGCACTTTCGCTACTTATTGTACCATGTACTATACGGTGATGCGAGATGTGTTACGACCAATGTAAGGTACGATGTTTAGAACAGAGCAGAAGCTTTAACTCAATATCACTGAATATTCGAAGTCATCATTCACGAGGAGCGTTGTCTTGATCATGGCCATTCATATCAAAAGCCTTATAGGCACTCCACCCTAGACGCTGGGAACCTGCCCACCAACACCCGCTATTTCTGCCACGCGTGTCCAAGGGGCCCGCCTTAAGCTCCTCCGCTCCGATCCATCAGAACTCCCTCTTTTCATCTTCACCTCCTCCGTTAATCGCACTCCCCAGCATCGCACACAGCCTACTCAGCGCCACAGTCTCCGTCGCCGCATAATAATCCAACGCAGCTAACAGCAGCTTCAGATGATGATTGAAATTATACTCATACTTGCCCAGCATTTCCGTTAGATTCTCCAACTTCTTCGGATCGTACGCTTTGATCTCATCAGGGATCGATTGGGCGTTCTTGTGGCGGTATGATGTGGTTGTCAGGTAGGTGAGGTGGGCGGGAGTGCCAGCGAGGGAGGGGGAGCAGGCGAAGAGGGTGCGGGAGAGGGTGCTGGTGTAGGTTGCAAACATGGTGCAGGCGGAGGTGAGCTTGCTGTGGATCTATGACAGCGATATGTTAGGTGAATGATTGCGCGGAAGGGAGGATGGCATACCTTGAGTAGTTTGGAGTTCATGAGCATGCATTCTTTCAGGCATGTATCCAGGAAATCTACATGGTCTTCCATCAATTCGTCGACCGTTCGAGTGGTCTTCGAAGACCCAGGGCGGCCACTTCCATCAAGCTTATCGTCGCCATTGACACGTGCCATGTAAGCCTGCCAATTAGGTTCGATGACTTCAGACGTACAATAGTAGAGCGTTTGCTGAACGAAGACTAGCATCCTCGCTCTAAGTGTCCATGCTCTTCGTTTCCACATCTCGAGCTTTGGATCACCGCTCTTATGAGTCCAGCTGAGGACTTTGTTATGATCTTCCCAGCTGCTCACAAGCAGACCCTCGAGGTGACGCATTGACAAGAGGTATCGGAATAGGATCTGATATCTGAACACCGTCTTACTGCTGATGACTAGCGACAACGGAAAAGGTACGGAAAATTTGAATTCGAGCGCTTCAAAGCCAGTCATCTTGTCCTCTTCGTCGGTAGCCGGTCTCGTAGCTGGTGTGCGATAGCGGTCAACGCTCTCTGGAGTGGGCTCCTCATCGAAACCTCTCACATTGACAACACGCATTACCAATTGAGTCAGTCCGACATTGTTCATCTGCACTTTGACATCTTCCTTGAAAGGGTCCTGGGCGCCCACGGTCCCTGGTTGACGCAGTACGAGATCGAGGAGAGACTGCAATTTTCCAACATTGACGAGTCTCCAAGGTTTCTTTAGCTCGGACGTGCTGAGGTCGAGGAAGTAGGTAAAGAAGTCCGATCTGTCAAGGAAAAAGTAGTGTTTCATTGACCGTAGCCGGGCTCCGAGAGCATGTGTCGTGACGAGCAGATTGAGCAGGGAGGAATTTGCGTGAGCGTAGGCACTATTGACGTTGTCAAGAAACTGAGGGTCGTCGAATGACTTTGGCACGTCTTTGACCTCTTTGCTGACATCCACGCCTCCGCATTCTCGAACAACGTTAAGGTATTTCCCAGCCAACAGTACCTTATCCTTCACGCCTTCTAGCTGTGGGGGTACGTCATTGTCGCGGATGGTGTACCTCTTTTCCCAGTATTCGTCGGTGTAGTCCTCTTCCAGCTTTTCCCGTTTGATACTTTGCTGCTCTTTGATGAGGAATTCAGAATGTGGATCCTTGATACCACCATGGTGGAGCCATTCGTTCAGCATCGCCATGTATGGTCGGCTCGCATCTCGTAGAAGAGTCTGCAGAAGCGTCCTCGCGGCAGGATCTCCGGACATGAAAGATAATCGCTCTGTAAGGAGACGTAGCACGTTGCCCCCTTTGCATATTTTCTTCGCCATGCTACCAGGAGCGAGATCGCCACCTTCTCGAAGCTGTTCCAAGATGTTGTCGACATCGTCAAAGCCATCGACCGAATCATCAAGGTCCTCTTCTGACAGCGAATTCTTTTTCAGTATCTCCTGGGCTAGAGTGTAAAGTTGAAACATCATATGACTTGTAGGAAGAGTATGTAGATGGAGAAGATGTAAAGTGAAAGAAGGGTTACTGAGAAGTTGATGCTCCAGCTGGACAATGAGCACAAGATACTCTTTCAGCAGCTTCGATATCGAAGCACACAGTGCGTGATTGATAGCCCCGAACTCTTCCCTACTCTGCACCTCTACAAAGGCTTCCATAGCACTGTAGTAGGTTGCCATCTTCAACACGGAGGTTGTAAGATCTCGAAGACTGGGATCAAGTCCTGGGAGTACTCGAAAGCCCGGTCCTGACAACCGGTCCTTCTCCAGCAATGGGTTGTACTTGTCTACGTATCGAATATATTGTCCTTCATATCCCATGAAAACGAATAGAAGGTCTTCCAGAATGGCAGACTCCTGGTTGTCAGGCGTCAGATTTGTCAACAGTTCAGGCTCAAGAGATTCGGGCATGAGAGACGATAGGGGAGACGCAGAGATGCGAGCGGCCAGAGGCGCTGTGGTGTGTGGGATAAGAGAAGCTTGGGGTTTCCATGGTGCTTTGAATTCCATGATTTCAGCGCAACGGTCCTGTCGACAGGTTCTTTTTTCAGAAAAACTTACGTAGAGCTGCTTTCTTCTCTTTCCTCGGGGCTTGAGCCTGCCCTTCCACTGCCGGACTACTCTGTCGTGCCGACACCCTTTCCTTCGATCCCCAGTCTTCGATACCATCGCTCACGGGTACTTTCACCGGGCTTCTTGTTCGAACCTGTAGACTCTCCCTTGTTGCCAGGTGTACCCTTCCGGTCTGTCTCTCACCAAATGTTGTGGTGGGGCCATTCCTTTTCTGCGCACCAGACGCGCTTCTTTTATGGGGCCCATTACTCGCAGAATCTTCCGGTATTACCTCCGCAGAAGAGAGCGGTCTTTCTCTTGCTCCCAGACGAGACGAAGAAGCTCTGGATTTGGCACCGGATGTTGCTGAGGGTCGCCTGCTATTTTCTGCCGTATTTCGGGCATTTGCGGTTGTTGACATGATCGTATTCCACCCATTGACTCCTGGTAACTTTAAAAGGTCGTGGCCTTCGTAATATCATATCGTCGTCGCGGTGTTTTCAGAGATGGATTACGGGCAGTAATGCGCCTTGATCACGATGTTTGCTTGGCGTCAGCCCTACGATGCTTGGCGCGGATCTTGAGGTAGCTTGTCTGCGTACACCAGCACCACCCCGATATAACCAAGCAAGGCTCTACACGCCCTTTCGGCTTTCAACGAAGAGTCGAGACCTCTCCAAAGAAGTATCTTGAGCTCTTACGGTTCTTTCTCTGTATCTTACCCTCATAATGTTTATTGCACGGTCGGAATACGGTAAGCTCTTAATGCAAGCTTTCACTATCTCATCCACCAGCTAATTTCTTCTGCAGACCGTGGCATAAAGTATGATTACTTCTCAGATTCCCCTTAGATGACAAGATTCTGACAATCTCAATAGCACCTTCTCCCCAGAAGGCCGTCTCTTCCAAGTCGAATACTCTCTTGAGGCAATCAAACTAGGCTCAACAGCCATAGGCGTACGCAAGATGTCTCCTTCCACCTGCAACCACTTAACAGTCCTCTTTCTAGATCGCCACCTCCCATGGCGTCCTTCTCGGCGTCGAAAAGCGCGTGACCTCCACCCTCCTCGAGACCTCCTCGGTCGAAAAGATTGTTGAGATAGACTCCCACATTGGCTGCGCCATGTCCGGACTGCAAGCCGACGCTCGCTCTATGATCGAACACGCCCGTGTTGAAAGTCAAAATCATAGCTTCCATTACAACGAACGACTAGGGGTGGAGAGCTGTACTCAAGCAATCTGTGATTTGGCCTTGCGGTTCGGGGAAGGCGCTGAGGGGGAGGAGAGCGTGATGAGTAGGCCGTTTGGTGTTGCGTTGCTGATTGCGGGGATCGACGAGGAAGGCCCACAGCTGTACGTCTAGTTTTGGGAACGTAGAACCGCAGAGGGACTAATCAGGAGTAGATATCATGCGGAACCATCAGGGACCTTTTACCGCTACGACGCCAAAGCTATTGGATCAGGCAGTGAGGGTGCACAAGCAGAGTTACAGAACGAATTCCACAAATCACTCACGTTGGAGGAGGCGGAGACTTTGGTGCTGAAAACACTGAAGCAGGTCATGGAGGAGAAGCTAGATTCGAAGAACGTCCAGCTGGCCAGTGTGACGAAGGAGAAAGGCTTTAGGATTTATACCGATGAGGAAATGTCCAAGGTAGTAAGCAGATTACCCACAAATTGATACAATAGAGATAGCATGAATGCAGACGTTGCCGTACCATGAGCTCAGCCTAACCTGCAAGAGAATGTCACGTGTGTATGTGAAGACTTGGCCTTGAGACTAGGAGCAATAGTCCCGTCTATACATGCTAAAGCGTAGGATGACAGTGGCCGGACCCCGAAAACAACGGATGAGAGCTCGTCACTGTATCTCAATCGTACAACCTGAACGCACACCACACATTGCGAAGGCCGCCTTCCTTCCAATCCGCCAATATACACCGAGGCAAAGTTACTCGGCCTCGCGAGATCATCCCACCGATGAGCTCCTTTATCCAGTTTAATGCGTGGTAGTATGATTCAGCTGTCCCATCAGCCTCCCCGTGCCATTCTTGACTTTCTTCCGGGCCGCAAGGATATCACGTCCAGCCGGTACGACAGCGAGGAGCAGACACCTGCGGCCAAAACATACAACTCCACGAGGTGCTTATGACTGATGATTTGCATACGCCAAGAGCTCGTTGGCCAAGGGGCAGTAACCCGTCGATAGACATTGTTGAGGCTCTCGAGTGAAAGTAGATTAAGGGTTTGAATATTCTCTATGCATAATTCATCAGCCAGGAGTCTGGAGTAGAAGGCATCAACAGATTTTCAGAGTCACGTCGTAAACCTTCATAGCAAACATAGTCAAGAGTCCAAGTTTTTGACCTACGACACGGTCACTGACGAGAAGGGACCAAGTAAGCAAATTCCATTATTCCTGTAGTAAATCCACCATGTCTAGAACATGCCATTCAATGTTGTAAGCTCTCAGCTTGAGTTCTGGAATGTGTCCTTGTTCGTGGCTGTCTTTTCTCTTGTGAGAAGCGGATTGTGCCGGAAGCACAGAGCGGTACTGCATAGAAGTAGAAAGCGTTTTTCAGCCGTTGCTGAGGTCACGAACACAGTTTGACTCGTTTCATGTTTCGAGGGACTGTTTTTTGCGAAGGCTCGGTGTTTGATGTCTTCCCAAGAGACGAAAGGGCCAAGTGTTGCATGCACTATCCAGTCTCCCAGTCTCTAGCGTCTTAAAGCTAGACCTGCATGAACATGCTTTGATGGGGGGCTGGAAAGCTTACTGCGTTTCCAACAATCAACATAACGGACACCTCCTTGCATCATTTTGGCTGGTGGAAACGGGTGGGTCACAGATGGTGCTTCCGCCCGTCTCTATGAGTCGGAGCACTAGTAGCAGGAGCACGAGGTGCGTCGAGCCAAGGATTGGAGAGCCAGCGAAAGGGTGCCAAGTGTCAGATGAACAAAATCGAGACCTGAATCGATGCACAACCCGAGGCCATGGCCTCGGGTTTCGCATCGCGCATCTTAGTGCTATGGTAACCGCAGGTCAAAGAAATGCACACGAGCTACGGCTGAAATGCTGCTGGTTTTGTGCAGACTAATCTGAATCTTAGAACATCCTCTTAAGATAGCAGATAAGAGTGCGTCTAGAGCTACCATCTTCAAACTAGAAGGGAGAACAACCTCTGTGCTGGCAAGCGTCAAAGCCTGGAGCCGGACTTCCGAGGGCGTTTGAGCAGTTCGCAATTGTAACAAGGCCACAAACTCAGGCCAGACGCATGAAGATGCTTCATGTCACGGGATGCAAGCTTGAGCTGTGTTGCAGCCCAATATGATGGCTGGAAAGGGTTTGCAGGGCGCAGGTCATATGCTACGGCAACGCTCGTCGGTAGCAGTCATGTGGGAGATCCTTTGCACAACAAGGTCTAGGAGAAAAGCGTATACATGCCGAGAATTGGACTATCTGGGTTGATTGGATGGTGGACGAGGTTCCCGTGTGAAGATTTCGATGCGGCCATTGCGTTAGCCGTGTGCTTCTGCACGGTTACGCTCGCGTAGTCTTTAGACCGAGCTTATTCTATAATTCCTGTCCAAGCTTCTCACGGCTTCGCAGCCAGGGTACGAGTGTAATATGAAGTAGTAGGCTGCTAGGCTCTGGTCTCTTCAGGTCATACGTTAGAGTCTCGACCGCCTTCTTGGGGGTTAGAGCCATCGATAGTGCCAAGAAATGAGGAGCCAGAGGAGCCATCAAAGGGGTCGAAGCAAGTGGGATGTGGAAAGACTCAAATCAAAGCTGGTTGCAGAGCCACACTCGTGCATCCAACAATTGATTGCGGTTCCGTTGAGGATCGGATATCTCGAGTGAAGATAAGTAGGGATCGTGGAAATAGATGCAATGGTGTATGCAAGAGAATAGATCTCTAATTCCAAAGCACGGAAATCGGATACACTGACAGCAAGACTTACTAGAGACCCACAAAGAGACACCATCGAGGTGGATCCTCAATACCTGGAAGTTGTTACCATCCATGACCGAGAATTTCAGAAGTATTCGATTGACAACTCTATTCACCTCGTTCCCACTGATGAGGTGAACGAACACTCACAGCTGTTGGTTGGCACGAACTTAACAGCATGGCAGGAAGAGGCATGTCGGCTAGAGAATCAACATCGAGTGTTCAATCTTGTGTTCGACGGACGACTCATCTTTCCACCAGTGACCAGTCCGAAGAACGTCCTCGACTGTGGTTATGGTGCGGCATCATGGGCAATGGAGTTGGCGGAGAGTTATCCTGACTGCCAGGCATGTCTATTGCACATAACTTGACGAGAATGCCAAACGTTGACCTTGCTCAGGTCATTGGGATCGACATTTCGCCGCAACTGAAGCCGGATGAAACGCCGGCAAACTTCGAGCCACAGGTTAGGGCTTTCACGCACACATCAAGAACTTGACATTCACAGCTCGCAATGAACGCGACTCGAACTTATATATTCATCTCGCTGACCATACTTGCTATAGCTCGACGACATTAATCTCCCATTCACCTTCGAATCCAATACATTCGACCTTGTCCAGTCAAGAATGGTGGGGGGAGGAATCAATATTTCAAGATGGCCGTCGTATCTCAGGGACATCAAGAGGTAGTAGCACCGAAAAGTTGTTAAGGCGTCAAGGGTCTACTGACGATGTGGGAAGAGTCCTCAGCCCTGGCGGCTGGGTCCAAATGACAGAGCTCTACTGGATGTGTCAGAGTGACAATGGCTCAATCACAGGTTCCCATCCCCTCCGTCGGTGGAGCGATCATTATATCCGGTCACTTGAAGGCATCAAAGATCCTCGGGCACCACTGCGACTGCACGGCCTTTTTTCTGCAGCTGGTCTGGTTGAGATCGAGCATAAGATGATACCGCTGCCTCTCTGCGGATGGTCAAGTGGTATGTCGATTTCTTGCTGACCTGTCCTTATAGAGGGGGTGCATCACAGCGTGCCCATCACTGTGACTGTCATGAGCATGAAGCTGACCCGCGGTTTCCCATAGACCCAAAAGAGCGCCGGATAGGAAACGCTAAGCAAGAGACCATTCGTCAAGCGCTAACCAATTTGGCAATCTTTCCTTTTACTCGACGTTTGGGCCTGACTATCGAGGACGTTCACGCCTTGGTGGCCGGGGCATGTGTCGATGCAGCGAACCCAGATCTGAAAGCTTATTTTCCCCTGTGAGTTTCAGCAAAGTCCTCCCAAGCTCTGTTCCGTCAACTCAGACCGCGCAGATATGTCTGCATTGGCAAGAAGCCGCTGTCATGATCTTCGCTTCCACTTGAGGTGTTCGTTGTTACCTTTCGAGTGGCAATTGTCATACCTGCATTCAGGATATGACCAATTAGTCAGCATAAGCCAGCGCTCAATCGATGTCTTGTTTA